GTGCTTTGAATTGCCCATTTACGGATATGACATTACAAGAAATCCCATTTGCCCCTCACAAGACTTTCTATTTCCTTCTTCATACAGTCTCTGCGTGCACATAGTGGAAATTCAAAGGCTCTGTCTTTTAACTTTGACAATACCAAACCTGACCCTGAGACCCTTGTACCTTCTCGTTTCCTCAAGGTGCTTGAGAAACCACGTGGTAACTTAATGATCGAAATTAATGTTTTCATTCAACTGCAAATGCTTGAGCTCAATACACATATTAGCACAGTGAGCACAAGCCCCTCCTGCTCCTCTGCCAGGTAATATGCTCCCCCCCCTTTTTTTTTCATTATCCTTTTAATGCAGAGCAGGGCTACTGATTACAAAGAAGCAGTTTGACTCTGGCAATAGGTCTTCTTCACTAATCCTCACTGTCATGGAAATTCCAGCTGCTACAAGAATAAGAGGCTCAATCCATATTTGCCAGCTCTAATATGAAATCTGTCAGAGCCCAAATTAATGAGTTCCAAATTCCTTACATCACGATAACAGGTTAAGACTGGTCAATTAATTACATAAATCCTTCCCGATTCATTGTGCGTTTGCAGCCCAGATTGTGTCTTACATTACTCCGTGACACAAGGCCTTTTGGCTCTTGTTATTCTGCAGAAAGGCCCCATTTAAGTGGAGGCTGCCTGCCACGGCAAAATGTTAAATGTCGCACATTAAATTTGCACTTTTCTGTAATTGCTTTTGTTAAAAAAAAAAAAATTAAATTAAAGCACAGGACTCCCAGTACACCACTGTGTAGAGGGCTGGGATTGTATTGAATAGATCCGAGAGCAGGCAAGTACCTGTCTTTTACCTCTAACAGTTTACACAGACTCCTCTGTACCAGGTGCCCAATAGGCAGAGGAACCCAGAACGTGCATATTTGTGAAAATAAAACTAAGTTTCCCTAAGATCTGCAGCAGCAGAAATATATATTCAAAAGAGTCTTTTCTTTATGGAAGGATTAAAACCGGACTCTTTAGATAGCCAGGAAACCCTGGTGGCTAGTGGTTAAGAGCTACAGCTGCTAACCAAAAGGTTCCAATCTATCAGCCACTCCTTGGAAACCCTATGAGGCAGTTCTACTCTGTCTAATAAGGTCGCTATGAGTTGAACTAGACCTCAGCGGGTTTGGTTTTTTGTTTATATAGTCAGCTTCCCTTCACCAGTAAAAGTACTAGATATATATACAACACTGTTGACCTGATTATCTTTTCAGGAACATACTGTACAAGTATGTCTGTGTGCGTGCACGTATTATACTTGTGTAGGTCTTTTGTCTTCAAAATGATGTTGCTGGTGGCTTTGCTGTTTGGATTTGTTACTGGTCCACACTTACAGACGGTAGAATCACTAAGGTTTAGAATCTCAAAGGACCTCAAAAATGATCCAGGCCAAACCCTTTCCTTTTTTAAAAAAATCAAAATGCCCTTGGAATCACTAATTAGGAGAACTAGACCTAGAACGGAAGGCTCCCAAGCCTATCTTCACCTCACTGCATTTCCTTGTGGAGTGGACTTTAGGAGGCCTGGTGGCACAGTGGTTAAAAGCTGCGGCTGCCAGCCAAAAGGTTGGCAGTTTGAATCCACCAGCCACTGCTTGGAAACCCTAGGGAGCAGTTCTACCCTGTCCTATAGGGTCGCTATGAGTCGGGATCAACTGGAAGGCAACGAGTTTAGGCTCTCTGTATTAAACGGAACCAGGGCCAGTTGTATTTCCTCCATCACGCAGACAGCTCCAGGGGTTGCACGATTGCGGGCTTGGGGTTCTGCGAATACACAGGCGAGCAAGGGATGCTCCAAAGCACAGACAAATCTATCAGGACTCAGGTTCCTTCCACTTGGGGGCTCTACCACCATCCCACGACGCAGACAACTAGCCAGACGCAAGGAGACACGTTCTCCGACAGACGGCTGCGGCCGCGCCGGCCCGGCAGCGCCCCCCTCTGTCTGCCGGCAGCCGTGCACGCGCTGTGCGACCCTGCCGCGCGCTTCTTTTTCCCGGGCAAAGCACGCGGCCCTGTTCCTGCGGCCCTAGTCTAATGGGGTGGGGCGGATCTCTCCTTGCTCCCTCCATCATTAACCCTTGACTCAGGGCTGTTTCTGGGGGAGGCACGCGCTTCTTCCCCGGCGGCCCAGTCCCGCCACCAGGCGCGACTGTCCCCTCCCTCCCCAGACGGGAGGGGGGGCAGGTTAATGCGACGGCGTGCCCAACGGACGGGTTTTAGGGTCTTGGGGAGACTTAAAGAAAAAGAGATTAACTTGTGTAGGCGATGCATATGCGAATAAAAACTTCTGGAACGATCAGGGTTTGCCCCAGCCCCGCTGCACCCCGGGGCTCTCCAGGAGAGCCTGCAGGTCACGGCCACACCCAGGCCCGGGCGGCGCGTCGTCGCCGTCTCGGGCCAGCGGCGGGGCGCTGGGGTCGCAGCGCCGCGCGAGCATCCGCAGAACAAAGACTCGTGTCTAGCCCTAGACTGGGAAACACCAACGCCGCCGCCGCCGCTGACAGGGGCGGCTCCAACGCGGCGGACCCTGACCCAGCTGTCCCGAAAACCCACCTGAGCTACTGGGGTCCCCGGGCCACGCGCGTGCACAAACCCAGCGAGGCCCTGAACAGGATTAAGCCTGAAGGCCAGGAGGGTCATCGGTATTCAGAGCTCTCTCTCGCACCAAACCCACTATCCGAGGCCTCTCTGCATTATTATTTTATTATATTCCTCAAGCCCAGAGTTGTCATTTTAACGCTGGAAAGGGGGCTTTCGGTGCCCACATTTGAAGCAGGTAGGGCAAGGGAAAGGGGCGCTGCAGGTCTGCGCTGTAAATCGCTGTCTTTTTGTGGTTGTTGTTTCCACTCACTACCCGCCGCCCCCCTCCACTCGGTTTTTTTTCCGCAGCGCAGTTGCCATGGGTTACCAGGGCGGTTGCCATGGGTTACTGGACCGAGGCCCGCTGGCTCGCTACCTGCCATCCAGTTGCCGCCGCCGCCGGAGCGGCCCGGGCGGGAGGAGGCGGGAGCGCGCGTGTGCGGGACGCGGCGCGAGGGAGTGTGCGCGAGCCGCGGAGGCGCCGCAGCCAACAGGCGGCCGAGGGTGAAGCCGCGGGAGCGCCACCGCCAGTGGGGTGGGGGGCAAAGCTATAAAGAAGGCCCAGAGGTAAGAAACTAGCAAAAACACAACCACAAGTTATGCCCGTGCTGTGCTTCTAGCAGCAAAGACAAGCGGTGTGGGGTTTTGGATGAATCTACACTTCTCGTCGGGGGAGAAAGGGTATTTTCCTCTTTAGCATAAGCCATTTGCATAGTTATCTTTAGACCAGAGTATAAATTCAGCAGAAAATTGTAGCTTAATTTTTTTTCTCTCTTTTTCTCTGTATCTTTTGAAAAGAAGTCTTTGGAATGTTGGAGAAAGAGAAAAGGGTCATTAACCAGAATTAGAGCAGCTAAAATAAATTAGTGTCCAGTGCACTGTTCATAACAATGATCTAGAAAAGCTTCCAGCAAGACTGAAGAGCAATTGTGTCTGACTTAAAGGGACAATTGTGACTCGTTTGTAAGATGCATATGGCAAAGAATAGAGCCAAAATCCTTTATAAATATTTCAAATTTTAAAGAAATTGTTTCCTATTTATATCCTTCTAAATTTTTTGAACTCCACGCTATTAAAATGTATTAATTTCTTATGACCTTTATTTGCAAAGAAAGTTGTATCTATGCTTTGAATGTCAAATTGCAATAATTTCTTTCAGACAGCATTTTGTATTTGAAAATGTGCTTATATATAACAAAGTAAGAAAGGGTCTATACTCCCAAAACACAAAACTGTATTGAAATAAATTGTTTCCTCTGTTAAAAAGATGCTGCATTGTATTCATAGGATACCAACCAAGTAATTTAAATACTGAGAGAAAGACTATTTAGAAGCAGAATAAGCTTTTTGTCTTGTTATTTTGGCTTAAAATTTTAGGGCCTTTCCTGAAAACAGCTCTTCCATTACAGCTCAAGTACTGAAACCCGTATTTGTATCACAGTAGCTCAATAATGATGAATCCTTAAGACATGAAAAAAAAAAAAACCCATGAACTGAGTTCAAAACAATATCCAATTTACTGTTGGATATAATAGTAATTGTAGCTCAGCTAAATGAATTTGTTTAAATTCTTAATAGCCATAAACGAAATTTTATTCTTTTGCTTTACTACTGCATATCACTTGTTTATATTTAATTATTCAATAAAACATGAACTAGGCTTGAAAAGCTCCCGCAAGACATTCAATCTTAAAAGACATAACTGCTTACTGATAAAACATGTATATTTTCCTTGGTAGTTTTTACATTTTGAAATTTTAGCTGCAGTTTAAATCACTTTTCTCTAAATGATACTTTAAAAGAAGCTTAAGTAACAGGTTGTTGACTTTCATTGTTAACACCTTTGGGTTATGTATAAAACCAGTTTTAAAACAAAACACATAAATTGGCTTTATAGGTGAACAGTTTACCCTTTCAGAACTAGCCAGGGAAATGCAGTTTTGGTGTATGTAAATTACAAAACATTCAGAATTAGAATTTTTTAATTTAAGTCACATTTAAAAAAAATCTTTTTAATCAATATCTATCTAGTTACTTATGTAATTATTTTCTTTTCCTAAAGTAAAGCTTTATAAAAATATGCCAGAGAAAAATAAGAGACTTGAACAAAAGCAAGAAAACCACTGGAGGTTGAAGTTCAGCTAAACCATATCTCAGCTGCAAGAAATCAGTTTTAAGAAGCCAGTGCTTAAATACCAAAACAACCAAACCGAGGCTAAAAGCTCCAATTTTGTATAACTACAGTGAAAACTAAACCAAATTTTCCAAAGTCTTTCATAAAACAATTCTGATAATCCAAAAACACACTGGATTTAGATCTAAGTCAGAAGAAATATATTCTGTTGTATAAAATAAGTGATCCAACAAACCAAAGTTGATTTTTTCATGTTTAATGTGAAAACAATGATTTAATGATGTTTACGTGCCAAAGTATTAGGCATTATGTAGTACCAATTCTGACAGCCATGTTACAGCATCGATAAATGACAGTTGGTGGCACAGTACATGCTTTTTCAAAACTGCTGTAAAACAAATATTGTGAAATCAAATACATATTGCTAAGGAGGTTGAGGTCATTCTTAAAAGTCTGGATGGCAAACTTTACATGTTAGCAAGATAATAAGAAATTGCTAAATCTCCCCCCAAAACCCCCTATATATTCAAATAATGAGTCTCAGGTAACAGGATCGAAGATACATCAAATCAAAATATTTACAAAAGTTTAATAATGTTTTAGACCAAACAAAGACAACAAGAAGGAGAAATTACGGAAATCATTCTTACTCTAAATTTAATTTTTGTCTGTTGGTTCTTACTTACAAGCATTTCAAAGGCTTTTAAATAATAGAATAACTTTTAAACTCCTAGTTAAAATAAAATGAAAAGGCTGCATTTTGTAGCAGCCTCTGCTACCCTTCAGATAGGCCAGGTAACATTTAATTAAAGCAACAAGTTATCCCAGTTACGTGAAAAATATCTTCCTGTTAGTTTCACAGAGATATTTTGAACCATTCAACAAGGAAGAAACTTGGATAATTATCTCAAGAAAATGCTGCCTCATCTGAAATTTGAAGTTCAAAGTAGTTTATCTAATAAGACATCTTATCTTTGGGTCACAAAAAAAAGACATTTTATTAAAATTATACCAATCCTCAGGCAGACGCATAAAAAGCAAGACTTTTAAAAATGAATTATTAATTCTGAAAGTAGTAAGTTAACATCCTTTTCTAAATAACAGGAATATTTACTGGTAAAATTAAGTTTATTAATTTTTATAAGATCTTTCTTCTGACTTAAAGTAACAGTTAACCACTACTGATACTGAAAGTTACCTAGTGACAAGAAACTGCACATTTAGCTAGAAAATAAATCATTAACCTGTAATTCTAATTACATAATGATAATGAAAACAAATGATTCATTTCCAGAAACCATTTGTTTAAGCTGATTTTGGACAATGAAAATGTATTTCTGAATCTATATATTGCAAGTATAATTCTTAGTACTATTTCCTTTCTTCTCTAAGATGTAAACAGTATTTTAACATGGCCCTATTCGTGAGATATATTTTTCATCTAGATGTGAAAGAGAATACTGGAAAGGTTAAATACTCTTAGTATATTTCAACCAAACACCCAAAAGCAGCAAAGTGTTTTCCCAGTGCAGGACACGTATCCACAAAATATCAACCACATGTCTGAGAAAGGCAGTCTGCGCTGATACTCTTTCCATAGTGGTTAACATACACGCTTACCAAATGTGTTTATGATAACACTGCCCCACCGACAGAAGGAGGAACTCTTTATCGTGATTTTAAATGCTATTATCTTTTCTTTTTTACCTTATCTTTTAAAATTCAATAAAGCCAACTAGGTTTTTTCCAAACATATAAATCATTTCACTTGAGGGCCGGATCTTGCTTACCAATAATTTTTGCCTATAAAGGATTGGTATTGCATTCACAAGCTTTTAGCTTTTTACAGCAGCTTAACTAAAATAAGGCAACATAAAAATACTACTGATAAACAACCCAACATCTTTAAGAATTTAAATACCTTATATTATGACAGTGAGCTTTAGGTAAGAATATATTATTAGCAAGCTTTCTTCTCTATGACTGGGCATAATTTGCTATTACTGAGATAGGAATATTAGAACTGTTCTTCAGGACTCCTGGAGAGCTGTGCTTGTTTTACATCCATGTGAACCGCTGTCATCACTACTGTGTCCCAGCCCAGAGGATGAACTGGAAAAGAAGAGGGGGAAAATAATAAAAAGAGGAAATTGGTTTTCACAACACACTCAAAGCCTGAGTAACAGAGGAGAACTTTAATTATCTCCAGTCACAAAGAGAGACAGGAAATTTGGACTTTTAATTAGCCATTTGGAGTGCAGTTGGATATTTTTTTAGCTAGATAATTTAAACGCGAATAATTCAAGTCTGACTAAATGAAAGTCACATAATCAGAATGCAGATAATTGAATTTCTACTGCATTCATTAATTCAGTGTGGAGGTGTGTGTGAAGACTACTATGATGAGCTGTCACAGCTCAATAAAATCTCAGTCAATTAATTTTTTCATTATCTTAGTATTACATCAACAAAAAAGTGAAGTGTATTTATATCTGTACACATGCATATGGGCACGATGTGTTACATAAATACATATTAAATCAAAATGCAAGGAAATACCTTTCTGAATCATAATCTATATCGTTTTCTCTTTTTCCTTCTTCCTCTTCTTCAGGGAAACGTCTGTTCATCAAGGCAAACTTGTGAATTGCTTCTTCCACAGAGTATTTAGTCTGACCAGAAACGCACGCCTCGATGTCTTCCGAATTCAGATGGCTCTGCAGGAAGAGGTGAAGGCTGCTATCTGAAAGCAAAAGTGCGTTCTGTAGGACCCTGTGTAAGAGAAAAAAGGAAAAATAATCGGGATGGACAAAAATAACAGGGATGGACGATGATGGGTAGGAGAGAGAAATACATTAAAAATATACCGCTGAAGTCATTTCTCTACTGTGGTAAACTCTGCATCAATTACAGACTGTGTCTATTAAAGGGATGAAAGCATATGTTAACTTTCATTCAATTATTTGGAAATTTAGGTGAGTACAAACACGAAGCTAATAGTTAAGAACATCTGTTAAAAGAATAACTTCAAGGACATTTCTTCCATTTAACCATCTGTTATGACCATGTGGATTAATTATGGGGATATTTTGCTTATATAGTCATAGAAATTTATTCTACTTAAAAAATCTTTTACTGCCAACCAGCGTGTCAATTCAGTGATCTTTACTGGAGAGGCTGTCATTAAACATCAAAACTCAGCTACCTATACTATTAAAATTTATTTTAAAAAGCCAGTACATTTCTCAGCATGTTTTACAATTGAAAACTTTATAAGTATGCTTATATTCATAAGTACATGTTTACAAGGGCTGAACTGAGAGGTAGCTTTTTTTTTATACCTAAGTTTTACTAGAAATTTCTCTAAAGTCTTCAGCAGCACTACATATCTATGCTGTCAAAATGAGCAACCAAATAAAATTGATCCCAGCCCATCTTACTATATATATGTGTATATATATACACATATATATGTACGTGTGTGTATATATATAGGAAACCCTCGTGGCATAGTGGTTAAGAATTTGGCTGCTAACCAAAATGTCGGTAGTTTGAATCTACCAAGTGCTCCTTGGAAACCCTATGGGGCAGTTCTACTCTGTCCTTTGGGGCTACTATGAGCTGGAATCGACTTGACAGCAATGGGTTTGGTTTATATATATATAGTAAATATATATATTTAAAATATGATTTTGTGGTAAGTACACACTAGCCTTCCCACATTCAAGATCAAAGTTTATAAACATTGTACAGATTTCAACTACTGCATCAGAACTACCTCATATGGAAGATTAAAAACTACCCTGTGGCAAAATCTACACATGCTCAAATTCATATTATCAGTGAATGTACTTTTTCCTGAAATGTACGTCTTACAATAGGAAATCAAGTCAGAGGACACCCTTACATTTAAATAAAAACTTGTTTTATCTTTTTAGCAAAGGTTTGGATGTATGATAATTTAGTTTCTTTAATAATCTATTAATGATATAACACAAGACACCAAGACCAGATGTATAGGACAAAACTAGAACACTGAAACCCAAGCATAATTTTGTCTAACATGGGATTTATCATATAGAGAACTATGAAATATAGATCATGTATTTCATACCAAATAAACCTTAGCTTATTTTCTGCATTTTAAAACAAATAATTAGAAAAGTAAATTTCTTTTGGGCACTAGTATCAATTTACTTAAAATGCAAGGTCATTAGAATACCACATCCTTTTCTTCAAAATAAAATAGTTATTTCTTCAAGTAAGCAAATATCTAAAAATACAGAGTATCCAACCCAAAATCTAGCCATCCCCTTTGCTTCAAGAAGTTTACAAATGCAGTTTGAGAAAATATTCTCGATTGGCCTAATAAAAAGAAAAGTAAAACATATGCACTTTTTCAAAGCAAAACCTCAAGCAAAGCAGCTAAATATTCCCTCTCCCTCCATGTCCTCTATCCTCGGTTCTCCCAGAAGATGACCGTGTCACATGATAAAGATTAATTTACCAAGTACAAGTAGTACAGTAGTAAATCCCTTTTACAACTCTTCAAGATTTATCTGCTACATTTCCAAATGTTTACCACTCTTGTTTTAAATACTTCAGATTAAGAGAAGAGTTACATAGCAACAACTCATTAATATTAACTTTTGTTCGCTGTGAAGTCTGAGCAGTGTTTCCTGTATCCTTCTGACAGTGGTTTCCTGCCAGCCATAGTACAAGTAACTGTTCATAGGATTATACTTACTGCTTTGTTTCTGTTGGAAATGTGTTTTATTTTCTTTATAAAATAATGGGTAATCTTTAAAATTGATTTTAGATGGTTTGAGGCATTACACCACAAAAGTAATGAGCACTAATGCCAATGATATTGGACACAAATTCATTTTAGCTTTATTTCATGTCTAAAGCAATTCTACTGAGCCTTGAACTGCTCACACGCTGTTATTAACTTGCTAGTAACCTAACACGTGGGTACAGCAAACAAAAGTGATCAGAGTCCAGGTTGATCAGGACCTCAAGGCTACTGTCCTTTTTCTTGAGCTATAATTCAATTTCCAATTTTACTGTACATTAGACTCATTATTTCCCAGGGCTTTCTTTTCTGCTCAATACTGCCATCTGGAGGACACACAGCTGAAGAGAGGGAGCCAAGTCCACCCAGCTCACAATTCACACAAGGGAGGGAGATGTCTGGGGAAGGGAACATCTGAACACCCACAGGGGCCCAGGGTTCAAAAACAGTGCTTCTGCACTCTGACAGGGATCACAAGACAACATCCCGGACAGAGCAGGAGAAAAATGTAGAAAAGACCAGACTTAGACTGGTCTGACGAAGACTGGAGGAACCCCCGAGATTACAGTCCCTGGACACTGCTGACTCAGAACTGAAACCACTCCCTAAGCCTACTTTGCAGACAAAGATTCAGCAGGCCTATAAAATGAACAATAACACATGTGAGGAACATGCTTCTTAGTTCAATCATGTTCAGTCATATATACGGGACCAAATGGGCAACTCCTGCCCAAAAGAAGAGGAGAGGCAGGAAGGGACAGGAACTGGACAAATGGATACAGGAAATCCAGGGTAGAAAGGGGGAGTGTGCTGTCACATTGTGGGGATTGCAACCAATGTCACAGAACAATATGTGAATAAATTTTTGAATGAGAATTAACTTGAGCTGTAAGCTTTCACCTAAAGCACAATTTTAAAAAAACTGCGTCTGCTCAGCACAGAGTGTTGTGACTGCCACCATAGTAATATTAAATCCTATTATTTTTTCTTAGTCACATTTGTGCCACATTTTCCACAAATAAATCTAATAGCTGAAAATCAACTTCAAACTTAATATAAAAAGTATTCTATAAAACAGTCAATAAAATGTCATTTTTAAAGCACCCATAAAACCAAATGTATATGATTTTTAAGCCTTTATAAAAGAAATGAAAAATAGCCTCTAGAATTTTAAAGGACTTTCTGAAAAGATATTTATATTTCTTTCCCTATAAAAACCTTAAACTAAACAAAACAAAATCTGTTTTTCCCCTGAACTGTTGAAGATCTGGTTTTCCTCAACATGATTTGATTAGGTATATTACATATTGGCTTAGTTGAGAAAAATATATAGCTGTGCAAAATCATTTAATCCTAATTGAGGACGTCCTGTGTCTACTAAACCCAATATAATGATATATATGCACAAATGTATATAATGTGTAGAAGATTAGCAGTTTGATGTAGAAAAAAGTTTTTCAACTCAGCCTGTTTACCTCTTACCATGAGAAAAAAAATAAAATCTATAAATGTTCACTGAAGACATTCATGATCTGTGCTGTGGTGCCCTCTATTGAACACAAAGACTTATTAAAAAATATATATATATATATTCACTCACACACACACACATACATAAAGCCCTCTGCCGTCAGGTTGATTCCAACTCATAGCAAACCTACAGGACAGAGTAGAACTGCCACATGGGGTTTCCAAGACTGTAAATCTTCATGGAAACAGACTGCCACATCTTTCTCCTGAGGAGCGGCTGGTGGGTGGGCACTACCAGCCTTTCAGTTAGCAGCTGAGTGCTTTAACAACTACGCCACCAGAGCTCATATAAACCAAAAAAAAAAAAAACCTGTTGTTGCCGAGTTGGTTCCTACTGAGGGTGACCCTACAGAACAGAGTAGGATTGCCCCACAGGAGGATTACCAAGGAGCGGCTGGTGGATTGAAACTGACGTTTTGGTTAGCAGCCAAGCTCTTAACTACTAGGGCTCCTTAAGAGTTCTACTACTTATAAATTTGCTAGTTTATTTATAATGTGGTACCTCCATCTTTTCTACTATTTCCCTATTTATAAAATTGAGATAGTAATACCCAACTCCTAAGATTGTTATAAGTACTGAGATTAAACATATAAAATGCCAAGCACATAGCAGATGTTCAATATATGGCATAAATTATTCCTACTTGGCACTTAGTCAAAGAAACAATTTTCTAATTCTTCTATGAAGAGCTGCCTGGATATGTACTTTGTTATTAAGTATTTATTTTTAAACAAATGACTTTAAAATGAAAACACACATGCACGTTTATGCTGTACACACACACGTATGCACAGAGACAGCAGTACTTTGGTTTCAAAGGGTTTGACCATATAGTGCTTTTTGGTTTACAACTTCAAAACTTACATAAAAGTCAAACTTTAAAAGTGCATGCCAGAAATCAAAAATGTGAATGTTCTTACTGGAAAAATAAAGTTATTTTTTAATCTGTTGTAGTGACAAAACAAGGAATATAATGTGTCTTAGGCTAGGTTCTCTAGAGAAGCAAAACCAGTGAAGTGTATAAATATATATAGAGAGAGATTTATATGAAGGAAACAGCTCTTGCGATTGTAGAGGCTAGAATGTCCCAAATCTGTGGATCAGGGTAGAGGCTACTCCCAATTCACGCAGCCGCAGAAGCTGGCAAGCCCAAGATCAGCAGGTTGGAGAGCATGGCTCTGGCTCATAGGCTGTGAAGATCGACGAATCCCAAGTTCAGCAGATAAGCTGACAGCTCAAGTCCCAAGAACTGGAGGTGAGATGACAGGAGGCAGCCGCAGGATCCAGAGTGAGCAAAAAGTCAGAATGTCTGCTTATATTCAGATGCAGGCCACACCCCCAAGGAAACTCCCTTTCATCTGATTGGCTACTCACAGCATATTCAATCATGGGAATGATCTCATATAAATACTGAGAATCATGGCCCAGCCAGGTTGACACACAATCTTAACCATCACATAATGCAAATATGTGACTGTTTATAGTTAAATCAGGTAAACAGATTCATGACTATAAAATATTAAATGGTCTATAAATCTGAATTGCAAGTTTAAAATTAATGCTCATTAACATTAAATACCATACAAATAATTTATCACACATTTATTCCTTGTGTCTTAAATATGAGGAATATACTATTCAGAGAGTTCAACTGAACTTGCAATTTTTTCCAGCTAGTCAATAGTAGTGCCAGGATGAAAAAGAACTCAATTTTCATCACTCCTTATCCTTAGTTCTCCCTACTCCATCACAAAACAGATGTGCTCCAATAAAAATTGAAGTCAAAAAAAACAAAGCATGCTAGACCTCTACAACTCAAGCATATTTCCTGTTCTAATATCATGGTATCTTCCCTTCCAAGTTCCCAAGTACCCTACAAACAAGCAGGGTGAGGCTGCTGATAAGGTGACCCTACTTAATGGGTAGCCAACTGGACTTCAGAGATGGCAAGTGGAGGTCAGGACCACAGTGCTGAGGTGCATATCACATTCAGTTTCTCAAAGTGGATGGTGTTGTGGGGGCGGGGGGGACACCAGGGGCAGAGGCATGGAACTGAACAAAGAACAGGAGAGCTATGCACAGGATCTGAAGGGCGTAGGAAGGAGAGAAGGGAGAACCAGGAGGGGCCCAGTGTTCAGGTCAGGCCTGAATTCAAGCATGTGGTATTACACTCTGTTTCCTTCAGGTTCAAACCACATGGAAAAACTAGCTTTCATTTTTCCATGTGAAACTTACTAGCTTGGAGACAAATGGTCACATAACACAGTGGAACACATAACATCACAACAGAACCCACTGTCTGTCCCATGATTTGGCTTCCAGAGGATAAATCCAAATCCAATTGTAATAATCTGATCATTAAAAAAAAAACACTGCTATCTAGTCAATTTCAACTCATGGCGACCCTGTGTGTTTCGGAGTAGAACTGCACTCCACGGGTTTTCAATGGCTATAAGCTTATGAGAAAAGGGTCCCTGGGTGGCGCAAATAGTTTGTTCTTGGCTACTAACCTACAAGTTTAGTGGTTCAAACCCACCCAGCAGCACCATGGGAGAAAGGCCTAGACATCTGCTTCCGTAAAGATCATCACCAAGATACCCAATAGAGCAGTTCTACTCTGTAACACACGGGGTCGCCACTGAGTCACTATTAACTCAACTGCAATGGGCAGATCGCCAGACCTTTCTTCTGCAGAGTTGCTGGGTGGATTTGAACCATCAACCTTCCAGTCAATAGTAGTTTGCGCCACCTATAACCCCCAGGATATATATATAGTGCTTCCCTACTAGAATGGAAGCTTCAAGAGGATGAGGATTTTTCCCTGTTTTGAGCCGTATTATAGTCCTGGAGCCTGGCCTAGAGCAATCACTTAATAAATATCTGTTGAATGAATGACCACTCCATGGCTTTCAGAGTCCTTTCTGAGCCATCACTTGAACAACACAACAACCCAATGAGGTTGGCAGTGCATGTGTACATGATCCTATTCTTCATATAAAAGCAAGGTCCAAAGGAATTAAGTGATTTTTTTCCCACGGTCATGTAGCTAGAAAAAAATCAGGAACCAAGATTCACGGGGGACCTAGAACCCAGCTCCTCAAGCTCCTGATCCAGGACACTTTCTACTGTGACATTTGCATCGGATACAACCAGCAAGTAACTGAAATGTGTAGTGTGCAAGAACAACCTAATACAGCATAACCCGACTACAGCTGAGTGACAGTGGGCCATTAATTTTGGTAGATCAACTGTGTAGGGAAGGGTTGTGTTCACAATAATGAAGTGATTGCTGGTCAAAAACACATGGCCTGCATTTAACTAGCAACATAAATACAGAGACACATGCTGTTCTTTGACCTCAACTAAGGCGACTTTTTACTCTACACAAGACAAGCAGCTCCCCAATGCTGATGGGGACTTCAGGATTTGGTCATCCCCTGCCGGGTCCTCACTGGCGATGGCCAGTCTGCAACTTCCCCGGGGAAGCATCTGGAGCGAGGGGCTGCTCTGCAAACCTGAGCTGCAGAGACCACATCTTAAGGGAGAGGCCATCAGCCACCTGGGCCTCATGCAGACAACAATTAAAATTAGAGCTGTCCCCAAGGGGAAGGGCAGAAACAATCTGACTGGATCTTTGTTCTCTCATGCCTGTGATACCCCAAAGAATACCACTGTCATATTTCCCAAGGACTTGGCTCAGCTACTGTTTCACTGTAATCAGTTCTTCTGGTCGCTTCTCCTCTTTTTTGTTCCTCTGCCTTCTTTTCCTTTCCCCATCCTCCTACAATTTATAATCTTGGATGTTTCTGTATGTCTCCATGACCCCTTCAAAGGAAAGGTACTATGTGAATCTAATAGCAATAAATATTAATATTCATGTGCATTCTTAATACCCAAGCCCTTTATAAGCAAGCCACATGGGAAGAAGGCAGTATATTATTTCAGGCTAGCTCTAAAGTACAATTTAGTGAACTCAAAGGAGATTACTTCAGATCCTGAAAAAGAAAGAGTGTTCCGGAGACTGGGGCCTGTCACCAACTAGCAGTGACTCAGCCCACTTCCTCATCTATAAAATAGAAGTTAGAAAAATAAGCCGAAAATGGTTCCATTTCCAAGTGTGCACACTATATGCCAGGCACTGTTGTGAGTGACTTACACACATCTGCTCATTTAATCTTCTCAACAACCTTATGAGGTTGGTACTATTATTAACTCCATTTTACAGATAGAGAAATACAGGTACAGAGGAGGTAAAGGACTTGCCCAAACCTCCAGCAAGTAAGTGGCAGAGCCAGGATTTGAACCCAGGCAGATGGGCCTCAGAGTCTGCATGCAAACCATGGTGATGTACTACTTCCCATGGGACAGGTATTCTAGAATTCCAAAGAGTGGAATAAAAGGGAGATCATACCAGTGTGAATTCAAATAGCTTTAACCACAATACCCACCATCGCAGAATAATTCAGAGTTAATAACCTACTGAGAAGACTATTCAAATGTCAACAAATACTCCCTTATAAGCATTCCCTACAAACAGTACAGTGAAACCATTAATTGAAAGGAGCGCAGAAGGGTATCGCAACCCACTGTAGAGCTGATTTTGGTCTGTCAATCTTAGATGCTGTAAATAAAGACAGTCTTTCAGAAGTGCCTTTTTAATTAGGCATATTTGTTTCCTGGCAAATTTTACTTTTGTCAGATAAACTCCCAAGTAATTTGGATCTGCTTCACAGCTTACAGGACTATATATTTATTATCTGACTCAATTAGTACATTGCTTTCTTTCTAGATTTGGTCCCAAGTATGTACTGTATGGTGTGAGCCACAAGATGGTGCTCTAATATAGGAAATGAACTGAGTGTATCTGAGCGCAATTATTAGCAATGCAAACACAGTAATAGTCTCCTCCACATGATCAGGACACCAAACTCTTGCAATGCACTTTGTTCACATCTATAATCTGACCACAAGGATTTCAGTATACTTACTTTCTGAGGAAATCTTCCAAACCCTGACGACGCTGATCTACATGCTGGCGATTGTTCATGTTGAAAAACAGATTTTTAGACGGAAGTTCTGGCAGTTGTCTTTTGAGAAAGAGGAAGAAAAAAATTTTAAATGATCAAATCAGGGTGGTTTGGTTACAGTGAAGCAAATTCTGCCTGATAATAAGTATTGTACAACTATTAATAAATGCATGAGGCTATCAATTAACTTAAAGAAAAACCCATCTTTTAACATTGCTGAAGCCCTATTTATGGTCAATATCCATAAAAGTTGGTGGACTTCAAATGATAAATTTTAAATTCAGATGTAGTAACCACAAAACTAACTAAAGCTATATACTGTCATCAAGAAAAAAGCCTATAAAGCCCTTCACAACTTATCTTAATGCATATCAGTTTTTAGTTACTGAATATAATGATGTCTCCACAATACACCGTTTAAATCACTTACACCAGCAACGCATTGCTTTGGAGTCTCTGCCTCAGCCACACAAATTCTCTATATCTTCTTCGTACACAGGATGTTTTCATTGTAAAACACATGCTATTGGTCTGTTGAGAGAAATAGGAAAATAAACACCAGCCTCACTTGAGGGAAAAATGCTTTTCTTGTATCTACAGCACACTATATTAAAAACAAACAAGTTGCTGTTGAGTTGAGTTGACCCCATGTGGCTCAGAGGAGAACTGTGCTCTATAGGGTTTTCAATGGCTAATTTTTCAGAAGTAGATTACCAGGACTTTCTTCCAAGGCACCACTGGGTGGACTCAAACCACCAACCTTCTGGTTAGCAGCTGAGCATATTAACTGTTTGTGCTATCCAGGGACTCCTATAACTTACTATACGACCCAATATTCATTTTTAATAGGAGTTAAACAATCAAAAATATATTTACATTTATGCCAGTACTCTAAAATCTTGCCCTTAACCCACCCATACAACTGCCCTGAAGACAGCTGGGATGACATCAATGAGCAGGTGGATTAGTCCTAATCCAGCCACTCTCTAAATCCTCAAACAGCTTCCTGCTCACCTAGCTTAGCAATGGCTTTCAAGAACGGATCATAAAAACAAACAAATTCTAAAGTATAAATGACTGATGAGAGCTCAGAGTCATCCACTGCATTTTAACACCATTCATGCAGTTGGAGGAGCATGTGGGGATAAACGACACCTTCTCATGGTCCTTGACATGACATCACAGAAGCGTCCCCTACTGTATATGACCATCATGGATATCACACAAATCACTAGGAATCCTGAAGTCATTTTTAAACAAGAGAGGAACATTTCCCTTCTCTACTAGATGTGAGGGGAGTCTGATCCGAGTTAGAAGCGTGTGGTGCCCCAGGAGGAAGGTCGACCTAGAAGATAAGCACCCCCAAATTTCAGCCCAGGCTCTGCTACAAGGCAAGTCACCTAAGAACCGTACACTGAGTGGTAAAATGGGGATAAAACAGGACATACCTATTTCATAGAGTGATTGTGAGGACTATAACAAGCACCTGGTAAATGTTATCTATTAATATTATTATTAGTTACTAAGTGTTGGTTTCCTTCCAGCTGCCCTAAGGCAGATTTGGAAAAAAACACCTACAGAGTCTTTGTCCTATGCTAAACCAGTGTTTTTCCTTTGGGTAAACATAAGACTGACAAATAGGTGTGCTTCTCCACTGGGGAAAACAAGAGACTGGCAAATATTTGTCTACTCGTTTAAACAAAGAAGCAGCTCCATTCTCTGTATTTATTTCAAAATTCTATTTCATAATCTTTACATTGCCGAATGAGAAACCTTTTTTTTTTTTTTTGTCCCTCAGATTTGTATGATTTCACAAATTGTTATTATTCTACTGGCAGTTGTTTTCCTTGGGAAATCTAAGTGATTATGTGCATTAATTCTCAAACTGTTCACATAAAATATATGATGCAGTTCCCTGTACCCTGGTTATAAAGTTCAGAAAAGCTCAGGATGCAGAGAGGTTAAGAGACTTGCCCCAAAGTAGCCATTAGTCCAATCCCATTATCTTTGGTGATATGGCAGCAAAGCACACAGGATGGAGTTTGTGGCACAGTAACAGTCTGTGGGTGGAGTCCAAAGCCTCGCTCTAATGTGCTCCTTGGAGACTGAGCCGGCAGGCTATTACACCAGAATTAGTGCCCTAACAAGACTGCGGAGGGTCTCCTCTCAGCTGCCTCTCCCCACGGAATTCCAGGCCACTGCAGGAACTCCTGTCGCCTCGGGTACAGGCTGTGTCAATTTAAACTCCCTTTAATTTCTCTGTTCAGAATCACTGTGAATGTCGGTAACTGGAGATTCAGCTGGTACCTACATCAGGGTCTATAAATCCTTTGTTTGCAGAACAAGTTTAGGAGAGTTATATATGGTGGGCTATCCAGCTTTATAATCCATTAGTTTAAAATTCCAAGTAAGTGTTAAGATTTCAGAATCACATCATATCATTTCCCTTGAGGTTAACTTAACCAAGTTAAACACCAGCTTCTCTACCTTCAAAGCTCCATGGGTATAACATAAGAGAGGCAGACTAGAACTCTCCAGCCTAGCCACGCACTCTTCACCGTACAACAGCAAGCTGAAGCCTCTTCAGTACACTGAGATCACTAATTGATTAAATTCCTCTAAATTTATTTGCTTGTTTCTGCTACCCACCAAGCCAAGATTTATTCACTGTTATTTATTCATGGTCAATTTATAAAGCATTTCAGACAAACACCAGAACACCATCAAATAATATTTGTTGAACCAATCACTTCTGGCTTGAGATGGAGATTTCTGAATTCACTTCATGCTATTTATGTAACAGAAAAGAATCTATACTTTCATTAACTCCCTTAGGATAATTAAATTTCATGCCTACCATAAAGTATACGATAAAGATTCACAATTTTTTTTTCAGAAGTTAAGAAGCAATTAAAAAATTTCATTTGAAATAAGCATTTAAAATGCTTATCTTTATGTACTCATAACTTTCCACACAGAATGCATCCTGGTGTGAGTTTATGAGTAAAATCAACACAAAATCAAAATACACAGCATACTCTAGCAATGGTCAACAACGCAAGCAGCTAAAAAGCAGCTGAGATTTTATTTTGCTTATTTTCAAAGGTGGAAAATAAAAGGGGGAACCTTGAAAGGAAGGAGAAAATAAAAATTTTATGGCTGGTGTCCAATATATCCATTTAGCTACTTACAATGGGGAGATTAATTAAATGATGGCTAAAATTTTACTTCCCTTGTGCTATCTAGCCACAGATATGATCTGAGCCAGTTCTTCTAGACTAAAGAAGTCTAGACTAAATCAGATGGGAAAAGTGACTATTACCAAGATCAGGGGCTGATAAGTTATGGTGGACCAAATCTGACCTGCCACCTGTCTTTGCAAATAAAGTTTTATTGGAACATAATCATGCTCATTCATTTATACATTGTCTATGGTTGCTTTCACCCTGCATCAGCAGAACTGAGTAGTAGCTGCAACAGAGACTGTGTAGTCTGTAAAGCTGAAAATATTTATTATATGGCCCTTTACAGAAAAAACTCTGACTCCTGTTCACAATGGTCACAGAAGGTCACATACCACATAACATTGTTCAAGAGACTATGATACAGTATTAGTTCCAAATAAAATACATCATTTCCAGTTATTTGCTTACAATGTTAATTACTCAGAATCTAGAATATGTCAAATTACTTGCATATTTGTTTCGTTTCTGATTATATACATAAAATACTGTACATCTTTTTTTCAGAGAACTCTAAATCCTCTCAAAACTAAAGATATATCAGGCAATATTATCCAGAAATAAGCTATCACAAATTCAAAAAAAATACCGTTAACGAGCTATCCTCTTTAACCACGAATTTTAGTTGTGTTAACATCTTCATACATGAAAGCAATAAACCTCAAAATCTTAACAACAGTAATAAGGAATTAAAAAAGAAAATTTTTAACTTTAGGAACCATCTTACTACTTCATTTAAGATATAAGCATTAGCTGTAATCATTGAAATTCAGTTCTTTGAACTAACAGAACTTTTACAAATTTCAATTTTAAGTATATCACAGTGTCTCATAAAATGTATGCTACAAAAAATTACTATGATTTCTACTGACTATTGACTGTATACTTACATGAATACATATCTCATAGTCAATATAAGAATGCCAAAAGTCCTCCTTCTGAATCCTAGGGTCTCGAACCCAGACACTTACAAATTCCTGTAAGGGCATCATAAACAAAGAAAATGTTTCAGAATTTCAAGAAGGGCCAGAAAGAGCAAGAGAAATGACTGTACTGGAACAAAACTGAAGCTTTTACCAATGTGGCTGTAATCCTTTAAAAAAAAACAAGAAGTGAAGTTAATGAATCAGACACCACAGGCAAGTCCAAAAAACTTTTTTTTTTTTTTTTTCCGCCACAAGTGGAATTTACAAATTAAGGCAAAGCTGGGCTGGGGCACTTTTGGATAACTTTACATAAGCTTATTTGCAGACAAATTAGAAAGTATACTCAAAAACTGATTTTTAATTTTTAATCATGAAAAATAGGTTCACATTTTTCTCAAATTTTAAAAGCAGTCAGTTCTTACTGTCTTCATCTCTCTAAATTAAAATTATGGGCCCTGGCCCTGCCTGAAAAATCACTCCTAGAACTCAAGAAAGGGGAGCAGAGGTCATGTGTAAAGTAAGCAATAAGAATGGAAACTGACTTTGTGTATGCAATCCAGCCTCATGAGAATAAGTAGTAATAAAGCGTTAGTACAAATATGAACACCTTCTTTCACATCCCAATATACTAAGTCACTTCATCTTCATAATAACCTTCTGTTATAGGTAAAAGAGACGTTTAAAAAAAAAAAACCATATACAGTGGATAATTTTGTTCCTTTTTAAAAATAATAAAATTAGGAATATGGAGTAAAACTTAAAACAATACTTTTCAAAAAATACTCTGCTAAACTAGATAGGTAGGGTTAAAAAATATGAAAGCATGGACAGCAAAATAAATACTCTATTTGTCATGATAAATATTAAGATAATCAACCCCGAGAGTATGGCCCCCAGACACCCTTTTAGCTCAGTGGTGAAGTCACTTCCAAGGTTCACCATTCAGCCAGGGATTGGACAGCTCCATAAAACAAAACGGAACTAATGAGGCACAGCAGTCCAGGGACAAGGACTAGAAGGCAGAAGGGGACAGGAAAGCTGGTGATAGGGAACCCAAGGTTGAGTAAGGACAGTGTTGAC